GCTCAAATCCTCCAAGGGGTTCCCGGCCACCTGAAGTGAAGCCCGAGGCCCTGTGGTGCCGGTGTCACCTGGATCCTGGACATCTCTGACCTGACACCTATTCCTTGCTCACTCTGTTCCAGCCCCACTAGCCTCCTGGCTATTCGTTTTAATTTTTTTGTTAATCCTAACCTGAGGATATGTTTTCCATTGATTTTTAGAGAGAGGAGAGTAGAATGAGGGAGGGGGGGAAGAGAGAGAGAAATACCAATGTGAGAGAGACAAAGTGATTGGTTGCCACACATGCACCCCAAAAGGGCTGGGATAGAACCTGCAACCAAGGTACATACCCTTTTTAAAAAATGTTTAAATCTTTATTGTTGAGAGTATTACAGATGGCCCCCCTTCTCTCCCCTCATTGCCCCCTGCCTCCCATTTCTGCTTTGCCCCAGGCCTTCACCATCCTATTGTCTGTATCCATAGGTAATGCACATCCTATACTAATAAAAGAGAAACATGCAAATTGACCACACCTCCGCTACGCCCAAGCCATGCCCACAGGCCAATCAGAGCAAGTATATGCAAATTAACCCAACCAAGATAGTGGCCGGCAGCCACAGAGCTGGAGCAAGCAGGAGGCTTGGTTGCCCCAGCGATGGAGGAAGCCAAGCTTCCCGCCTGCCCTGGCCGGCTGTGGCCTCCGCTCAAGGCAACAAAGTTTCAATTATAGAAGATAGATAAATCCCAGATACCTGCTTCCAGCCAGCCTCCACTGGGAGCTTGGGTGGCTGGGGGCTGTGGTCAGCCTGCAAACAACCATCAGCCCCTCACCCAGGCTGGCCAGGCACCCCAGTGGGGACCCCCGCACTGAAGGTGCTGTGGCCAGCCTGCAAATAGCCATCAGCCCCTCACCCAGACTGGCCAGGCACCCCAGCAGGACCCCCCACCCTGAAGGGGCTGTGGCCAGCCTCAAACAGTCATCAGCCCATCACCCAGGCTGGCCAGGCATCCCATGGGGCACCCCTAACCTGAAGGGGCTGTGGCCAGCCTGTAAACAGCCATCAGCCCCTCACCCAGGCTGGCCAGGCACCCCAGCAGGACCCCCCCTCCCTGAAAGGGGTGTGGCCAGCCTGCAAACAGCCATCAGCCCCTCACTTAGGCTGGCCACACCCTCATGGGGTGAGGGTCCCTGCTGGGAGGCTTGGTCAGCCTTCAAACAGCCATCAGCACCTCACCCAGGCTGGCCAGGCACCCCAGCGGGGACCCCCACCCTGAAGAGGCTGTGGCCAGCCTGCAAACAGCTACCAGCCCCTCACCCAGGATGGCCACACCCTCATGGGGTGAGGGTCCCCGCTGGGGTGCTTGGTCAGCCTGCAAACAGCCATCAGCCCCTCACCCAAGCTGGCCAGGCACTCCAGCGGGGACCCGCACCCTGATCAGGGACACCCTTCAGGGCAAACCAGCCAGCCCCCACCCATGCACCAGGCCTCTATCCTATATAATAAAAGGGTAATATGCAAATTGACCCTAACAGCAGAATGACTGGTCACAATGACACACTGACCACCAGGGGGCAGATGCTCAATGCAGGAGCTGCCCCCTGGTGGTCAGTGCGCTCCCACAGGGGGAGCTCTGCTCAGCCAGAAGCCAGGCTGATGGCTGTCAGTACAGCGGTGGCTGTGGGAGCCTCTCCTGCCTACTCAGCAGTGCTAAGGATGTCCGACTGCAGCTTAGGCCTGGTCCCCGCTGGCAAGTGGACATCCCCTGAGGGCTCCCGGGTTGCCAGAGGGATGTCTGACTGCCAGCTTAGGCCCAATTCCCCAGGGAGTGGGCTTAAGCCAGCAGGTGGTCATCCCCCAAGGGGTCCTAGACTGTGAGAGGGCACAGGCTGGGCTGAGGGACCCCCCTGAGTGCACAAATTTTTGTGCACCGGGCCTCTAGTCTTACCTAATAGACAAACATGTAAATTGACTGTCCCTCTGCTACGATCACCAGCCAATCAGGAGAGTATGCAAATTAACCAACAAAGATGGTGGTTAATTTGCATACGTAGGCATGAAGTGGCGGAGCGGCCAGAGCAGCGAAGACTGAAGGCTCCGGCCAGAGCGAAGGCCTGGGTCTGGGTGCCAGAGGAAAACTGGTGCTGGCAGCCAGGGGAAGGGAAGGCTTATTGCATGAATCTCTTAGTGCAATGGGCCTCTAGTATGCATATAAGATCTTTGACTAATCTCTTCCCACCTCCTCTCCCCACTTCCCTATGAGATTCGTCAGTTTGTTCCATGTTTCCATGCCTCTGATTCTATTTCTTAGATTCAATTGTTGATAGATATGTATTTATTGCCATTTTATTGTTTGTATTTTTATCTCTTCTTTCTTCTTTTCTCCTCTTTCTTCTTCTTTCTTCCTTCTTCCTCCTTCCTTTATTCCTTCCTTCTCCTCCTCTGTCCTCTCCTCCCTCCCTCCTCCTCCTTCTATTTCTTTTTCTTCTTTTTCTTAAAGAATACCCTTCAACATTTCATGTAATACTGGTTTGGTGGTGATGAACTCCTTTAGCTTTTCCTTGTCTGTGAAGCTCTTTATCTGACCTTCAAATCTAAATGATAGCTCCACTGGGTAGAGTAATCTTGGCTGTAGGTCCTTGCTATTCATCACTTTGAGTATTTCTTGCCACTTCCTTCTGGCCTGCAAAGTTTCTGCTGAGGAATCAGCTGACAGTCATATGGGCACTCCCTTATAAGTAACTAACTGCTTTTCTCTTGCTGCTTTTAAGATTCTCTCTTGGTCTTTAACCCTTGGCATTTTAATTATGATGTGTCTTGGTGTGGGCCTCTGTACTTCCTGGACTTGTAAGTCTATTTCTTTCACCAGGTAGGGGAACTTTTCTGTCATTATTTCTTCAAATAGGTTTTCAATATCTTGCTCTCTCTTCTCCTTCTGGCACACCCATAATGCGAATGTTGGTACACTTGAAGTTGTCCCAGAGGCTCTTTACACTATCTTCATATTTTTGGACTCCTTTTTCTTTTTGCTTTTTTGATTGGGTGTTTTTTGCTTCCTCACATTCCAAATCATCCATTTGATTCTTGGAATCCTCTACTCTATTGGTGAATCCCTGTATATTATTCTTTACTAGAGGCCTGATGCACGAAGTTCGTGCAAGAGTAGGCCTTCCTTCCCCCGGCTGCCGGCACTAGCTTCCCTCTGGCACCCGGGACCCAGGCTTCCCTCCAGCCACCAGCAGGCACCCAGGACCTGGGCTTCCCTCGCAGCCCCGGCTTCATCCAGAAAGTCGTCCGAAAGGACATCTGGTCTAATTAGCATATTATGCTTTTATTATTATAGATTTCAGTCAGTGTATGCTTAATTTCTGAAGGTATGTACCCTTGATCGGGAATTGAGCCTGTGACCCTTTGGTTGACAGGCCGACACTCTATCCACTGAGCCACACTGGCTGGGCTCCTTGCTATTCTTGAAACACACCAGACACCCTCTGTCCCAGGACTTCTGTGCTTGCTGTTCTCTCTGTTGAAAAGTTCTTCCCTGGTATAATCCTCACACCTCACCCCCTGGTTTACCTCAACTCTTTGTTCAATGTAACTTATGTAAGGCTTTCCTTGATTATTCCATTTAAAAATGCTAATTACCAGCCTTCTCCATCCCCAGCTTCATTTCTCTCGATAGTCTTATCACCAGCTGACCATGTCGCCTGTTCTAGTCATTATTTTGATGGCCTACCGCCCCACCCTGGCCTGTCTGCTCCTCGAGGGGAGGGAGTCTGTCTGCCCTACTCACTGGTGTGTCCTCAGGACTCACACGCAGGCCCGGCACAAATCATCATTTAGTGCCTATTTGTTGAATGAAAGCAGGACCAACCTTAAGAGGCTGGTCCCCAATTTATACATTATAAGGCTGTAAGTGATAGTGTCACTATGCAAGCTGAGGGCTGCCTGAGTCTAGGCTGGTGATGGCGAACCTATGACACACGTGTCAGAGGTGACACGCGAACTCATTTTTTTGGTTGATTTTTCTTTGTTAAATGGCATTTAAATATATAAAATAAATATCAAAAATATAAGTCTTTGTTTTACTATGGTTGCAAATATCAAAAAATTTCTATATGTGACACGGCACCAGAGTTAAGTTAGGGTTTTTCAAAATGCTGGCACACCGAGCTCAAAAGGTTCGCCATCACTGGTCTAGGCTGTTCTACCACTTTGGAGATAGTTTAAGATGACATGGCAATAATAAATTCCATTTTTATGTTGTGGCAGAGGGCCAAATATAGACTACTTTGGAAGAAGTGTAACTAGAATGCAGCTATGATGTAGAAGAGGCTGTATCATGCCTAACAATAAGCACAGACTCAGTAGCTCAGAGATGCCCACTGCGGAAACACCAGGCTGCTCTGTGGGCACTCTCTCTGACTCCTGGGGCCCCAGCCCAGCAAAACATGGCAGAGACAGCCTCACATCTGCGAAGGGAAGGCAGAGGTTAGGAAGGAGTGGGGGCAGGGGTGATAATCTGGCTATGGAGACCAACGACTACCGGGAACCAAGTAACCAAGCAACTTCATTTTCACTTATGAGTAAAGGCAGGTTATTAAAAGAGGTTTTCAGGGCTCTGACTCAGCACTGCCATCGGGGAAGTAGGGGCGAAGTGGATAGGAAGAGGAAAGATAATTAAAGAGTGTCAGCGTATTGCCTGGGCCAGTGTGGCTCAGTTGGTTGGAGTATTGTTCCATGCCCCAGAAGGTCGCAGGTTCGATTCCGGGTTAGGGCACGTACCCAGGTTGCAATTTGATCCCTGGTTGGGGCATGTACAGGAGGCAATGGATCAATGTATCTCTCTCACATCAATGTTTCTCTCCCTCCCCTTCTCAATTTTTTAAGAAAGGTCAGCATATTAAATGCCAAGGCAAACAGATCGAAAACAAAACACCAAACATCCTTAAGCCCTGCCAGGCTTTGAGTGACACCCCAGAACTGACAAGCATCACAGCAGGGTGGGGGGAGCACACCTACCCTTCCTCTGTCTCATTGACGATGTCGCAGATCTCCATGTTCAATGTCCAGTCCTCGCTTTGCAGGGAGCCATCTGTGGCCTTTTCTGTAAAGTCAGAGAGAAAGCTGGTTTACATTTCTCCTGAATGAGGGGCTCTGGCAGGAACCATAACCACCACATTCTCCCAAACAGATGGTCTGAGTCAACAGAGCAGTTCTAGGGTTTTGTTTTCACAAGAGAACAGCCAGCGAGAGAGAGAGAGAGAGCTGGGCCCAGAGGCTCATGTCATAACACTGTCCTTCTTTCACCAAACTCCAGACTGAAAAGCTCTTGAAGGCCTAAGCTATTAAAAATCACCCAAAACTCTCAACTCCTCCCATTCAACAGACAACCACATCTTCCTGCACAATGCCAGGTCAAAGCAGCCACAACCCCGAGACACAATGGGGAAGGTCGGAGTGAACAGATTTGGCCACACTGGGCACCTGGTCACCAGCTCTGCTTTTAACTATGGCAAAGTAGATAGTTGCCATTAATGACCCCTTCATTAATCTCAACTATATGATCTACACCTGGGACGGCACCCCAAACCCCGGATCGGCCCTGCCGTGTGCGCGACCCGGGGAGGCGGGGCAGGCACCGAGGGATCGGGCCTGCCATCTGCCACCTGGGGAGCGGGCCTAAACCAGCAGGTGGTTATCTCCTGAGGGGTCCCAGACTGTGAGAGGGCACAAGTGGGGCTGAGGGACACCCCCTCCCCCCCCCTCCCCGACCAGTGCACACATTGGGCACCTGGTCACCAGCTCTGCTTTTAACTATGGCAAAGTAGATAGTTGCCATCAATGACCCCTTCATTGACCTCAACTATATGATCTACACCAAGCATGTCAAACTCGCAGCCTGCGGGCAGCTCACAACGAATATTTTTGCAGCCCAGCCAATATAACAGTATGTAAGAAATGTTTTAATAAAAATTTCATAACTTAATTTTTACAATATCCTGTTATACATAATTATTAATAATGAACTACAACGTTCACTAATGACTGATTACTATAATCGTGTTGCATTCATTTTCCTTATGTGCCTTATGCGCAGGCGCACCATTTCTCTCCACTGATACTAGCAGCGAATATTTTAGCAGCAGATGGCCACATGATTAGTCCTGGACTGACTTGTTTGGTGTGCACAACAGGAAATATTTCACTTTTGGAGAACAAGAATAGGTTTATTTGTGTTACGCTTATTAATTTGTGCAGTTATCCAGTGTCTGGTAAGTTAGGTAAGTTAATGTTCAAGACAAAATATTAATTTTTATTAAAATGTTCTATTATTTTATGTTAATGATTACTCATTTATTTCAGCCCTTTGTATTCAGCATGTCTCTATTGAAATAAACCTACGTTTCTATGAAAATTGAAGCTTTTATTTTTTTGTGGCCCACATACACTTATACCTTATTTGGCCCATGTTAGCCTTTGAGTTTGACATGCTTGGTCTACACGTTCCAGCATGATTCTACCAATGGCAAGTTCAAAGGCACAGTCCAGGTTGAGAAGAGGAAGTTTGTCATCAGTGGAAAACCCATCCCCATCTTTCAGGAGTGAGAGCCCACCAACATCAAATGGGTGAAGCTGGTGATGAGTATGTTGGGAGTCCGCCGGTGACTTCACTACCATGGAGAAGGCCGGTGCTCACTTGAAGGGGCAGCCAAGAGGGTCATCATCTCTGCCCCTTCTGCGGATGGCTCCCTGTTTGTGATGGCTGTGAACCATGACAAGTATGACAACTCCCTCAAGATTGTCAGCAATGCCTCCTGCACCTCCAACTGCTTGGTGCCCCTGGCCAAGGTCATCGATGACAACTTTGGCATCGAGGAGGGACTCATGATCTCAGTCCATCACTGTCACCCGGAAGCCCATGGATGGCCCCTCTGGGAAGCTGTGGTGTGATGGCTGAGGGGCTGCTTCTACTGGTGCTGCAAGGCTGTGGGCAAGGTCATCCCTGAGCTGCATACGAAGTTCACCCACTTTGCCTTCCCCTTTCCCAATGTGTTGGTGATGGATTTGACCTGCTGCCTAGAGAAAGCAGCCAAATAGTATGACACCGAGAAGGTGGTAAGGGTTGCAAGTTCGATCCCTAGGAGGGGGCGTGCAGGAGGCGGCCAATCAGTGATTCTCTCTCATCATTGATGTTTCCATCTCTCTCTCCCTCTCCCTTCCTCGCTCTGAAATAAAATTTTTATAAAAAGAACAAGGTGGTGAAACAGGTGTCAGAGGGATCTTCAAGGACGTCCTGGGCTACACTGAGGACCAGGCTGTCTCCTGTGACTTTAACAGTGACACCCACTCCTCCACCTTTGATGCTGGGGCTGGCATTGCCCTCAGTGACCACTCTGTCAAGCTCATTTCCTGGCCTGACAATGAATTTGGCTACAGCAAGAGGGTGGTGGACCTTATGGTCCCCATGATCTCTAAGGAGTAAGAGCCCCTGGACCACCAGCCATGGTGAGAAGAGGGCCCTCAGCTGCTGTGGAGTCCTGGCCCCAGATCGATCCCCCAAAACACTAAGAATATCCTGATCCCCACTGTTTCCACCCCAGACCCCCTGAAGAAGGGAAGGGGCTAAGACAGCCCTACCTTGTTATGCACCCAGCCGAAAGAAGAAAAAACAACAACAACAAAAACCAGGGAGACGTTAAGTTTACTAGCCCACAGATTCTGGAGCCAAACTACCTGGGTTTGAATACAGGCCCCACCACTTACTAGATATGTGACTTAGGCAAGTTACTTAACTTGTAAGTGCCCGATTTCCTCATTGTACACTAGTGAAAACAACAGTACCCAGCCCATAGAGTTGTTAGGACAATTCAGTGAGTTAATATATGTAAAGCCCCTGGAATAGGACCTCACACAGAGTCAGTACTATCAGGTAGTTGCTATCATAATATTAAAAATCTACTTCAGTAGTTAAAAAACTACATTTCAAATAAGGGGACAATAGAGGGAGACACAGCTAGGCATGTCATCAGGTGCTTCATGTACAGTATTTTATTTCACCCAAGAAATGAATTCCTGACCACTCAGTGGGAAAGGACAGTCTTTTCAACAAATGGTGCTGGGGAAACTGTATACCCATATACAAAAGAATGAAATTAGACCCTTATCTTACACCACAAAAATTGACCGAAAATGGATAAAAGATGTAAACCTAAGTTAAAGCTCTTAGAAAAAAACATAAAAGAAAGCTTTGTAACATGGGATTTAATAATAATTTCATGAATATGACACCAAAAGAACTGATAAGTGGTTAATATCCAGAATATTTAAAGAATTCTTACAACCAACAATAAAAAACACACCCAAAAGAACAACAACAAAAACACAACAATTTGAAAAATGGGAAAAGAAGCAGAACAGACATTTCTCCAACTTTTGTACACTGTTGGAGGGAATATGAAGTGTGGTAGCTGCTATGGAAAGTAATATTGCAGGTCCTCAAAAAATTTAAAAAGAAATACCATATGATCTAGCAACTCCATTTCTGAGTATATACCCAAAAAAATTGAAGACAGGGTCTCAAAGTATATTTGTACACCCAGATTCATAGCAGCGTCACTCACAATAGCCAAAAGGTAGAAGTAACCCAAGTGTCCATCAATGAACAAAGATATAAACAAAAGTTGGTACATACATACACTGGAATATTTTTTGGCCTTAAAAAGGGAAGAAATTCTGACACATGCTACAGCATGAATGAATCCTGAGGACATAATGCTAAGTGAAATTAACCAAACAGAAAGAGAATACTATATGATTCCACTTATATGAGGTACCTAGAATAGTCAAACTCATGAGACAGAAAGTAGAATGGCGGCTGCCACAGGCTGGGGAGAAGGCAATGGGGAGTTGTTAAATAGGTACACAGTTTCAGCTTTGCAAGATGAAAAAGTTCTGGAGATTGGAACACTTAAAAAAGGTTAATATGGCCCTAGCCAGTTTGGTTCAGTGGATAGACCATCAGCTCACAGACTGAAGGGCACGTACCTTGGTTGCAGGCTCAATCCCTGGTACTGGTCTGGGCACATGTGGGAGGCAACCAATTGATGTCTCACTCTCACACCAATCGATGTTTCTCTCTCTGACTCTCCCACTCCCTACCACTCTCTCTAAAAAATTCAATGGACAAATATTCTTGGGTGAGGATTAACAACAAAAAAAATGGTTAAGATGACAGATTTTATGTGTATTTTAAGACAAAAAAAGACCTTCTAGGGTAGGCATTATTTCCTCCCACATTCACTCAACTGATGGATTGATTTGAGAGAGAGAGAGAGAGAGAGAGAGAGAGAGAGAGAGAGAGAGAGAGAGAATTTGTTGTTCCACTTGTTTATGCATTCACTGGTTGTTTCTTGCATGTGCCCTGACTGGGGCTCTAGCCACAACCTTGGTGTATTGGAACGATGCTCTAACTGAGTTACTGGTCCCTCCCACATTTAAAAAGAAGGAAATGAGGTTCAGAAAGGCTGGGGTCTTGACCAATCACATAACTGAATTGACAACTCAGCGTCCCAGTAACTGAATAGAACGTGTGGACCCTGAGGATAAGCCGTGGTAAGACATATCTCAGGTCTGTCTTATCTCTGGAGCGTAGGCATTTGCCTGCTACTGCCCCACCTGCTAGCAAAGGTGGGTTCAGATATGAAGCTGATATCTTAGAAGAATGCTAAGCCTGCCCCACCCTAACTGTACGATTCATGAGGGACATCACCACCACCATTTTAAACAAAGCTTCATACAACCCACACTGATGCTCAATAAACAGATGACCGCTGCACATGCTGGGAGTGTCCTTATTTTCTACATGTGGCTGTGGAGAGGTGCCACTTGTCTTTTATATAATGTACCAGAACTCACACATGCAAACAAAGGCTGTACTTACAAGCAGCAACCACACACTCCAAAAATACTGCCATTGCTCTAAACATCTGTGCACTAGCTTTCATTCTGCATTAAAAGGCCTCATTGTTTAATTTTCGTTGTTAATCCTCACCTGAGGATATTTTTTCCACTGATTTTTATAGAAAGTAGAAGGGAGGGAGGGAG